AATTAAAAGTTCATATATTTGACGAGATACTTTTAAAACGTACAATACAAATAATAATTGTCATATTAGATTTGGTTCTATTTGATCCAATACATGATCTAAAGATATACATAATTATAGAATAAAAATTTAAGATTTTAAACTATTTCTTCGGATCGCTTCTAATCATGTCATATAGTAACCATATGGTTACTTACATTTAAAAAATTCGATTCATTATACAGATTTTCAAAGTTGTTGAAATTTCTTTTAAGCAATACTTTATTTTTCATAGATAACTATTTGTGATAGCTCGTAATTGCAATTTCTCATGATATGTTCCAGATAGTAATTTTATATTTTTTTAACGGATCGATCGTAGTTTTGATAAGTTAATTTCATTGACCGTAATATGATTCCTCATCTATATTATTTATAGAATCATTTGAATGATCTATAATTTAAGGTGCTTGCGCATTTATACATATATCTAATATTTTTAAGCATCCGACTTCTGTAGCATAGTTTCGATCCCAATTTATTTTTAGCATAACTTCTATGGTTTTAGCATAACTTCTATATATCTATGGTATTTACAGAATCATTGCAATGATTTCTAATTCAAGAGATTAAATATCATCTACTATTTGCAAAGTTCATACTTCTGTGATATAGGTCAGTATTCCTATATAGCAAAAGAATACCTTTTTGCAGTTATGAACTAAGATTTGAACACATAACGAAATTTGCGGTTTCCAAGTGCATCTTTTAACACTAGATTTCGATTTTCCTATTTCTTCTTCGCATTTACATATTCAAGTTGTCGTATGTGATCTAGTGATATTTGAAAATAGTTTATCAACATATGCCCTCCACATCTGTATCTCTTCATAGATATCACTAAGTATTTTAATATCATTGTTAAGTGGTATGACTTTTATTTTTAGCATTATAGGTCTATTGTATTTTGGGATAAATTCGATGATATATTAAGTAGCATCTTTTTTCATAATAATACTATATAGTGAAGGGTAGACTTTTTACAGGCGTAGGATTTTACATTTAAAGAAAACAAATACAATTGATCAAATGAGTCAAAATAATATCGATTGATTAATCGTTACGAATATTTAAGACTCGACCTCATTCAATATTTCCCATCAAGTTAACAATAATTCTAATCGATTACGATTCAATTATAAACAAAGGCAAAGAGTATACTGCTCAGGATACATTTGTCATTAATGGATTACCTTCAAGTCTTCTATACTTAAATGTCACAAATATTTTTATTAACAGACCTACTGATACAAATTTAAACCGAATAATTAAGGCCATGTGCGAGTTCGAGTAAATTCAGAGAAATAGTATGTAGCGAATGTCGGTATGGCAGCGAATGTTGGTTGTTACCAGAATCTCGAGTAGGGTAAATTAGATAAAATTAGGTGAATTAGGTGTTACCATTGTGAAAATTTAATAAGATGTTTAATAAATAAATAATTAACTTTGAAAACTTTTAAACAAAAATAGTAAATAAGCGCAATAAATAAATATTTACATATGTGCAGTGCAAAATATCACCAGGAAATTTTAATTTTCTTTACCTCAATTTACTCGAACTCGCACACGGCCTTAATAAAAAGATGATGTTAATTGACAGACAAATTAATAATCACCTGCTTGAGTGCTGTTATACTATATTGAAGTTATAAAAAAGTACCAGTGAAAAGAAGAGACAATGGTTTTTTTTGTATTTTAACTTAACACACCTTAACACACCTATTCTCATATTAATATGTGACGTATTTGTTTTTATATATTATTTTATATATGTTTTCTTAATTTGCATATATCACTACACATTCACTACACGTTCTATGCAATGAAATGAACTTGTATAGTTTTTTCATAATTAAGCTGATAAATTCACGCTTAATAAAAAAAAATAATAATAATTTTATTATGAAAATATTGTTGAGTTTGTTTCTGTGTATATAAAAACTGCTTTGTCAAAAGATAAATTTGTTTTGTTTTATTTTTGCTATTATTTTTATTATACGCCATACATAAAATATGGGATTTCCCTCATTATAAAAACAAAAAAAATGTATCACAAAAAACAATGTACAAAGTTCTAATTTTTTATGTGTGTATGTACATTTATAAGTGAAATATTTACAAACATACATCTATACTAATTTATCTAGTAATTGTTTTAAAGTATATTTACATATATTGTAATCATAAACTGCTTTCAATAAGATACTTTTTTTGCAAACCCCTTAATACTTCAGGTTGTGCATCGCATATAAACTTTTATAATTTAATGAATTTCATAGATATATTTAAGTTTTTTTTAAATAATTTTATAAAAAACAATCTGAAATTATTCACAAATGAATATGTAAATTATTCTTTGATGCATTTGTACTAATTCCTGTAGACTACAGTAAAGTTCTTAAATCGAATGCAATTCTTATTTCAATACGAAATAAGAATACGAATATTTATCTGTTGTGTAGTTGTTTTCTCTTTTTAAACAAAACAATATTAATTAAGCATTTAAAATAGTTTTCATTCATAAATCACAGTATTTTTGTACTTGTTTTGTATGTGAATTTTGTGTTAAGATGTTTTTCGCGATGGGAAAAAATTGTTTTTAAACTTTTATATTTTATATTTTCCCTACATTGGTCGGTTTAATTCGTGGGTCTGTATGTATATCATTTATTTACAAACATACAGACATACTTATTTATACTAGTTCGTACTGCTATTCTTATTGTTCAAAATATATCCAATATTTTGTTATGATATTTCTATTTCCTTTTAATTATGAACATACTAAACATACAAATATACTCGCATATATTTAAAAATATATATAAAATTATTTTCATTCAATTTTCAACTTTTTCGTTACACCTACACTTCGGTTATTTTCGAAATATTAAATTGAAATGTTTTAATGAAAAATGCTAAATAAATAAAAAATTTTATATTCTTTTATATCTTATATATGCAGAAAATATATAAAAACAAAATTGATCTTTCTATCGGATATATAAGAAATAAATTATTTAATTTTTTTTTTTTTGCCATTTGACCATTTCGATATCTCTAAGAATTTGTTTTGCATTTATTTTTAATAAAATTTTATATCTGCACATATTTGTATCATATTTTACTATATACCTGCATATAAAAATATTAAAATATCAAAATTATTTCTTTTCGTTCTACGTAAAATATATATATATCTGAAATTCTCAATTAATAAAATCTATACTTAAATTTTATTAGCTCTGTTCTTGTTCATATGCAATGAACTGAAAATTTGTATTTTTAAGTACCAACACAAATGAATATTCTATCTATTTGCATTGGTTCGTCTACCCACTTTATAATTGAAAACAAGGAATATATAAGATGGATGATCGATTCCTTTAAGGAATCTTTGTTGTATCAACTGTTGGTTATTTAAAAATTGAAATGTTATTCTCGCCTTTTAGTGTAATTCTCAGGACCTGCAGTCTTTATGTAGGTCCCAGTGGTCTGCGTATGAACAACGCTAATACGCTAATCCATGGTATCACAACGGGCTATTATTTGAGCTCAAGTGGGTTTTAGTGTAAATGAATTAAGAAATCTGTATTATTGGCATTATTGGCATTATTATTGAAATCAATCATTTGCCTATTAAATACATAGCATTATTTTCTGACTTGTAAGTTCCATTTAGCCACAATTTGGTCATTGTATTTAGACCAAGATTGTTTTTAGATGACATTATCGTATAAGAATTAGTTTTTATCACACACTTTTCGTTTTACAGATTAAAATTCGGTCCATCAATTGTCAGTCGTTTTGATATGTTGCGAGATTTCACATGTCCTGTCCATCTTTTTAAACTTAATTTACAATTTTATCGAGTTTTTCGTTCATAGTCAATCAGAGTGAAGTGTCTTCTAAAAATTCATCTAAAATTCTAGCGAGCAATTTCTTGACAGTTGAATTTGATAAAGTAAGTGAACCATAAACAGCTAAAATCTTTTTACGTATTAACATTTTTCCTTTTCTGTTACCTTTATCATAATGAAGTGTTAAATATATCAAACTTTTTATCAAATAAATAAAATAATTAGCAGATAATAATAACCATTTCAAAGTCAAGGAAGTAGAAAACCGCCGAATACTTTTTGCCCAATCCAATACAATCGAAAAAGGCTTAATTTGTATTAAGCTTAAAAATAATAAATATCTTATGTGTATATGAGAGAACTACCAAGTAACATACATCGTTTACATATATATTGTCTACATTAATACAAATTAGTCGATATATTTTATCTTATCAATTCAAAGGCCAAAAGAAATTGTTTTATATGTTTGGAATATTTAATTATTTTTTGTTTTTTTTTTTAATATTCCACTATGGGATATTGTGGGAACAAAAAATAATAAATATAAAACATGTAACGTATACGCCGAGTGCGACCTGCTCTCGCACAATCGCCTAGACTCTTTCACACGACATATTAAAAAAGCACATTTTCAAGTTTTTCGTATACCTCAGTACAGATTTTTATACGTATATATAATATGTATTAATATGTATATGTATAAATCTGTTTGTTTTGTTTCTTTGCAGAATATCGTAGATTATTTGCAGAATTTTTAGTTATCTTCTAGCATTTAAATCGAACAAACGCGCTTATATCTCGTAAAGAAAATATCGCCAAAAACATTTTTCTGCGTTTTTCGAATTGTTGTGTAAAAAAAATTCATAATTTTATGGCAATTTTTTGCAAAATATTTAAAAAAAATATAATTAATTACAATTTTCTCAAGGAAAATAATTAAAGATAAAAAATGAAAAAGAAAGCATAGTGTAGTGTAATAACTAAATGTTGACAGTTACTACATATATATAGAATTTATAAAAATAAAAAACAAATAAAATAAAAGTTAATAAAAACGAATACTCATTCGTGTAAATAAATTATTTAAATTATAAATTTGTTTAAATTTATTTTAAAAATGTGAGTAATTAATGTAGATAATCGAGGCGAATAAAAACATAAATTAAATCACAGCAAACTAAATCAAAACTAACTAAAATACAGCCATTGTTATCTGCTTAACTGCTTCAGTGTAATTTTTTTTTATTTATTTTAAAAATTATATATACTAAGCTTAAAGGGTAAAAATTTTACTCAAAATTTGAATCTATATCTCTATTATACATATTATGTACGGTGTATATTATACTTGTTTGTTTTATGCTGTTTGCCGATTTTCTGTTTGGTGCTGTGTCATAAATATTTTTAAATTTTCATGTCATTTGTTTATTAGATACTTCAACCATAATTCTTTTTTATTTTATTTAAGTTGCACATTTTTAAAATTTAAATTAAAATTAGTGTCTGCGCTAAATCTGGAAATGAAATAATATTAAAAAAAATAAATTTAAACAATTTTTGCCACATTTCGCTATTGCGTTAATTTTATTTCAATATATGCTCTTAGAGTTTGTAATACCATTGAGATTTTAATATTATATTTTATAAATTAAATTATGTTTTTTATGAAACATTTACAAAAATGCATTATAAGATATTTATTCAAAGAGTATTTATTAATGGAATTAATAAATTAATCTGTTTAGTTACTTTAAGAGTTGTCAGAAAAAATATATGTAGTTTAATATTTTGTAAATGTTTCACACAATAGAATGCTTGATTCTTAGTCCAGCAAAGCACTGTCATTATAGTTAATATATTGTGCTAACGAATGACACTAATCGAATAAAATGTACCCAACTATTCAAATGAGGGTCGAATAGAGGTTCGAATATGGTTTAATATTTTGGTAAATGTTTAACACAATAGAATACTTGATTCTTAGTTCAGCAAAGCATTGTCATTATAGTTGATATATTGTGCTAATGAATGACTCTAATCGAATAAAATGTACCCAACTATTCGAATGAGGTTCGAATATGGTTTGATATTTTGTCAATGTTTAACACAATAGAATACTTGATTCTTAGTCCAGCAAAGCATTGCCATTATAGTTGATATATTGTGCTAACGAATGACTCTAATCGAATAAAATATACCCAGCTATGTGAATGAGAATTGTTTTTTTTTGTGGATTTCCCAATAACAAATGGAGATAGAAGTTCCCGACTCAGTATTTTCATTTAATATACTAATACAGTAGTCGCTCTAAATATAACGAATACTCAATTTAACGATAAATGCATAATTCGTTATTGATTGATTGAAAAGTTATTGATTTAGCAAATATTGCAAGAAAAATAACGAATGTAAATGAAAATGTGTCACTGAAATAAAAACAAATCGAAACTTTTAAGTATCAGTCACCACTGAATTTCTATACTACCGATCTGGTAGTATTTGTCAATATCTAGCAAAATTTTTATTAAAAAAAAATGTATGATCGTGAAAAGTCTATATCATGTCATAAAAGTCTTAACCCCTTTCTATTTAACCTGACAACTAATTATAGTTTATTTGTTTTTCGGATTAATCCATAACTTTAGAACTATAATGATATAGAACATTCAGAGTTAGATTTTTCTGAAAAACTTTTGCATATTTGCGTTATGTATTATTACTTTTAACAATTGTTTATATTTAATTTGTTTCTCGTGAAATTTAATTTTTTGTAATATAAATTTAAATTTTAGAAAACCATAAGTAATGAATTGTTCTTTTAAAAAAAGAACCCTTAACTTTATATAGTTTTCGAACAGAAAATATGATTTAGCAAAAAATAAATCATATGGAAATTATAGCTAGAAGTATAAACAATCAAAAAAAAAAACTAGATTAATTAGAACTAATCGCGTTTTTTGTATTTTCGAGTTACTTAATAGAAAATAGACTATCCAGATAATTTAGACCATTCGAACTTTACGTTATAAATTTGAAAATGATTAATAATTGTTTAATGGTTTTAATATTAATTTATTTGAACAATTTGAATAACATTAATTATATTTTTATTAATTACAAATGGCTTCAATTCTATGAGCGTTTTAAGAATGTTATACAAATTTATTATATAATTTTTATATGATTTTATTATATGATTTTTATATGATTTTATTATATGATTTTTTTTTTTGGTTTTCAGGTGTGTGTTTATTTTAAATGATGGCCTAAAATGGCGGCTAAACCACCAAAGCCGCCAGGATTTTTATTAAAACGTAGCAATAATGACGAAAGTGGCAGCGAAAGAAATTCTAATAATTGCAATAACAGTAATAATAACGGTAATAATATCCATAGAGTTAATGGTGTCAATACTCTAAGCAATAACTATAATAATAGTAATAGTAATAACAGTAACAATAACAAATGTTCAGTGAAAAATAATACTACGGATTCTATACCAAATTCAAATAATTCAAATATAACAACAACGAATATAGCAAAAGCAAACTGTAATTGCACAAATATAAGTATTATGCACTTATTTCATGAAATGAAACAAGAATTTCCAACCATACCAGATACAATAGTGACACAGTGCGTGAATGAGAACTGTCATCAACGTGATAATTGTATACAAATGTTGCGTAATGAATTGGCTGCAAATCCGATGCCAGCCCAAGCATATCCAGCTAAAGTACTGCAACAACAAAGACAACAACAAGTGAAATTGCAAACGCAACACAGTTTACAGAAACCCCCCACACCCTTAAAACCAACGCGTGCAGCACCAACGCATCCGCCTATTGTAGCGACTAAGCCCACAAAAAACATACAATTGACCCAAACGTCGTCCAGAACGAAATTCAATAATTCCCACAATCCTGTGGAGGTAAAAAATTGTGATAGTGCTAGTGCTAGTGCTAGTGAAATAACAAATAGCAACAAAATTAATAAGAAATTCAAAGATGTTTATAATAATAATTCAAATAGTGTAATTACACAGAATAGTGTCGGTGAAAGTACAAGTGATATGCCAGCAATTACAAAAACAATAACACCGACACAACGCGCATTAACGAGTGTAAATAGTGTGAGTGATATGCAAGAATGTTCTAATTATGAAACAACAAATAATACGGCAACACCAACAGCCAATAATAATAATAGTAATAATATTAA